TACTTCGAAAATATTTGAATGGGTTGCCATCTGTTCAAAAATTGTAATCTATTTAATTAACGAGTGAAGTCAATTATTTTAATATAGATATAAGTGAGGTTAAAGAAAGCTCTATTTCGCAATAATTTTATACGAAGGTTGCCACTTGTTTAGAAATTCAAAATCATTTTAAATAACAAGTTAAATCAAATATTTTAATACGATAACCAAGAGCGAAAGATGGCTAAGAATGTTGTATTTCAAAAAAATTTTAAGCTAGGGTTGCCACCTGCGAAAATTAATTTAATTAACAAGTTAAATTAACCTTAAATTATTTATATGTATGTAGGTATCATTCGAAAAGCGTTCAAGAAGAATCTTTTAAAAAGCTTCCCACCTGTTCAAAATTTCAAAATTAATGTAGTTAAAAAGTCAGACGAAATATTTTAGTATGGGTATCGAACAAGTGGGGTTTAAGAAAGCTTTATTTCGAAAATGTGTTTATAGAGTGTTGCCATCTCGATAGAAGCTAAAAATTATTTTGATTGATATGTTAAATAAAATCTTTTAATATGGGTGTCAAACGAGGGGGGACCTTTAGTTTAACGTTTTTCCATGCCAGAAATGCACTCGGATGTTTACATATTAATCATTTCAAAAATACCAAAATTTTCAATAATACGTTTTTTGGAAAACAACCCAAAACCTGATGAACGGAAATGTATTGCGGTAACGGCATACTTATTAAGCATCGCCTTACGTGCAATGTCTCATTTAGAGTTTTTAATTATTCAAAACCAGCTTTTCTTTATTACTAGAATTTTTTTCGCTTTGTGAAGTAATTACTTTTTCCCTCATAATCGGGAACAAACACCGATTACACACTATGCACTTAAAGCCACTGGTGTAGTTGAAAACTGATTTTGAGGGGAGAGGATGCTTATCAAAAACCAAAAGGTCACTAAATTTCAAAAGTTCATAAAATATTATTGCGCTACTAAACTAGAGATGCTACATTAGCGTTTAATTAGTTTTTTTTTTTTTTTTTTTTATCGCTAGACAGGTTTTTAACAAGCAGCTTGAAATGCAATTGAAGTCGGACCCAGATTTCTGGCATTAAACATAGGTCGCAGCGACTGAGGTCTTGAAAATATATGTACCTAAGTAAATTTGTAAATAGTTCACTGCTTCATCTTCTTATCTTGAATTTGAGCCACCCGAGTATCCCCTTACTGCAATGTCTTTGTTTACAATACATGGACTGTGTATACTCAATTATACAATTGTATGCGGGTGTTAGTACATGGGTGTGTACCGAGATGCTAATAAGTATTGCCGATGTGAAAAAAAACAACAATTATTGGCTTATTAACAATACAAAATCTTTATTGTATTGTATTTGTTAAATAACTTCGGCAAATAATATCGATAAATACATGAGTATGTATATTAGGGTGATCATATTTGCTTAATGAATATGAAAACGAATACGACTACGAAGGCGATTGCGAACATATCAGGTAAGTTTCGCATTAAAATTTCAATTGGTGTTCACACACAGTCAACTGCTCGATTAGCTACAGTGATGGCAAAGTTGGTACAATCGTACCTTTATTTAGTTTGAAAGTACATTCGGTACAAACACACCATTTTAGGTACTTTTGGAGCGTAGTCAAATAACTTTTCAGGAAGACAGTTCTTATTTTTATTCACATTTCAACGCATTTTAACTTTTTGAACAGGTGGCAATCCTTTTCAAAAATATTTTAGTAATAAAGTTTACTTGAACCTCCCGTTTGGCATACATAAAAAAAGAAATTAAGTTAAAATGGGAGACATTTAAATTGAAAAGGTGACAACCCTCGCCAAAATTGTTTTAGAGATAAAGCTTTCTTAAACCTCTTTTGTTTGATACGCATAAAAAATATTAGATTTAACTTGCTAATAAATTGATTTTTACTTTTTAAGAAGGTTGTCAGCACCAGCCTCTTCCAAAGTTTTTTTGAAATTAATAGTTTTCGAATCCCCTTCGTTTGGAACCCACATTGTTGTAATATTTTATTTAACTTATGATCTCATTGATTTTAACTTTGAAAAAAGTGGCAGCTCTTTTCAGAAAATAACCACATGTTAACCCATCTTATAACTTATCCGTGTGCCAAATTTCATGAAAATACACCGATTTGTTTAATATAATATTAACAAACAAACTCACACTCACTCATAAATTTTGACATTTATAATATTAGCAGGATTGGTAAATAGGATTCAGATTATAAGCAGCCTCTTGAAAAGCATTTACAACTTTTTACTCATTATACCCACCCAAGAATGACTTACCCTAATGTGTGTATATAAATACATATATAATTACCATAACAAATCGCTGGGTTTTTTTTCGCATGAGATTTCGCAAACAAAAATCTTTAAGTTTACAAATAGCAATAAAAATATACACAAGTTCATTTGATTACGTATTAACTAAAACTTAAAATTGGCTACCAAAAGGCATCAGTTTTGTCGAAATAAATTTAGTCTCGCTCAAAGCTTAAAGTAAGCAAGTTTAACTTGAAATATTATAATTAATTGTGCCCAGATTTTAGTGCAGATATAAACTGAAATGAAATTCTTCGCTGTAATTTTGGCAATTTTCGCGTTGATCGTCTCTACACAGGCGCTCAAGGATGGTAAGTTTGAGAGAACTTGAAACGATAATTGTAAAATTTTTCTACAAAATTTCTTTTCTCTCTTCTATTGGTTCCTTCGTCACACCGAACAGCTATTTGTGGTCAACCACCCGAAGCTGATGGCAATGGCATAATCAAGTGTGCTGCTTTTGTGCCCTCATGGACCTACGATGCCAAGGCTAATAATTGTTATAGTTTCGTTTATGGCGGCTGTGGTGGCAATGAAAATCGTTTCGGTACAAAGGAAGTGTGTGAACAAAAATGCAAGGAATAGAGTACACTGTGTTGGATGTTTGAAAGTTTGAATAAATAACTCTGGATAGTGTCAGTCTGTGATTTCGAAATAAATGTCTTTTTTCCCTAAAGGCTGTGGGATGCAAATAAGTTATGAAATACTTACATATCTTGTGTTTTTATTTAACTTGTGGTAATTGGACTTTTCAGCAGCACAAGGCTGTGACCCATACTTTCCGAAAAACGAAAGCATTATTTGAGGAATGAAAAAACCCGACTTGACTACAGTGGGGATCTGTAGGGTATCTTTCTCAACCTGACTGAGATCAGTGTCAGGCGGAAGTCCCAGCTCCTCTACCTGTTTAAACACTAGCTGGCCGGAAACCTTATGTACAAGAAGATACAGGATGTCGGATGATTAGCAGGCTGGCAGATTGGGAGGCGTCGGAGTCGCTGATGGCGTACGCGACGGTGTGCAACATTGATGCTGGACATCTGTGCTGGCAAGGTCACGGCGGTCGTTGTCGGTAGCTTTTAGCAATAGTGAGAAGCGGTGACGCTAAAAACGATGATGAGCACCGATAACGGCCCAGCCGGTCTTTTTTTTCGCCGTCCGTCGTCGTTAAGTGTATGGAGTGCGTATATGGGGGAAAAAAATTACACACACATATTGTTGATAGAAGTATACAGAAACAAAAGAACGAAACGAAGCATATGGGCATTGTAAGTTAACCGAATAGCTTCGTGCTTTAAGTATGTACATTAGACACGAAGTTCCAGCACGAGTATGTTATATACACATTTGTAGTAAATTTTGTTTGCAACAATACGAGTACATTCTGAAAATGATATTTGTTAAGAAAAGTGTATGCGAGTTGTGTATGGAACACTAGAGTACTCGGTAATACTTTGTGTATAAGAGCAATGCGATTTCGTGTCGCGGCTCTCAACCGTGCTGAACATCCAAAGTGACAGGGGCAACAGTGAGTATGGCGGCTGATCTCGACGCTGACTGCAACGACTACGACGACTGAACAGTTGTGCTTGGAGATTAGTAAGTATGACCGTTCGTCCATGTTCTGGAGTATTGCAACACGGGTTAGGGTCAGCTGCAAACGCGAAAAGTACACCCTTCTACAGTCTCGACAACCCTAGGCGAAACTAGTTCTACCTACATGCGAGAGATTAAAGCGCTGTAGCCTGGGCCAAACTGGTCTGGCCTAAGCCCGTTAGGAGAAACCAGTCGAGACGAGGCTGAACTTTTAGATCCTAGTACAAATATTTACGTTATTATTTAATTGCTGAGTTGGAAAGTTTTGGTTTCATTCTTCGGAAAGTTGAAGACGCCCCACGGGGAAATTTGAATTGTAAACATATCAAATGATGGAGTTTTCTGCACAAAAAGGCTTAAGAACTTTTTTAAATCGGTTTATTGTATTGAATAATATTTAAATTAAGTTAGGTGCTGCCTCAGATAGGGGACGTACTTAGATATTTAGGAGATCGTCATTTGTGATAGATACCACGTAAACCTATACGGAGATCACCACTTAGTCGACGAAAACCTGCGAGCCGATTACGAATGCGGCAAACTTCAATGCCGGGGAGCTCTTCAGGGTGAGTCAGGAAGTTCGAGGCGAAATGTTTCAACCTTAGCCGCGCGAAGGTGGTCCAAAAATGAATGTGAAAAAGTAAAGTCGGAATTTGTATGCTCTCACCCCCTAGGATTGTTCTATACCGAAAAAAATATTCCCGTATTTTTTTATTTTGAAATCAAAAAATATTTAGAGGTCGCTCAAAGCGGCCAAAGTTTTCCATGTATTTTATATGGGGAAAAAATTAAAAAAAAATCGTAGAAATGGTATAGAATTCTTAAAAATAATTTTTTTTCTATCGGAAAACGCTGTTTATCAGGCAGGAGATTCCCAATAATAATAACAGTTGTTTATTTAACCATGTTTTCATCGCAACTATAATTCATAGTTCCGCCAAAAACCCACAAAAACTTCGAAAAATGCGATGAGGAGACCAATAAAAAAGCGTTAGTATTACAAAATGGTTAAATAAATAAGTGGGTATTATTATTGAAAGTCGCCTGAAGAGAACAAGTGTTTTCCGATCGAAAGATATTGATTTTCAAGAATTCTATACCATTTCTGCGAAATTTTCCCATATAAAAATACATGGAAAACTTTGAGCCCTTTGAGCGACCTCTAAATAATGGTCTCCGATTTATAGGGATAAGTAGTATTCGCTTTACAAAAATTCCAAGTTCAGAAAAAAAAGGTGTATCGTCCTAATGCAGGAATGCTACATATGTACATATTTAACTTAACAAATAACATTACTTAGCACATCTCTAAGTGAACAAACAGTAATAAAAATACACAAGTAAATACGGTTTTGCAATGACTGAAGCTTTAAATTGGCAACTACGAGAAATTTCAGTTGTTGAAGCATATTCAGTATCCGTAGTAGCTTGAAGAAGCATCAATTTGATTGCAATAACATTTTGGTTATGAAATTCTTTATTGCAATTTCGGCTATTTTTGCGTTAATTGTCTGTACGCCGGCCCTCAAGGATGGTAAGTTTGAAGAAATGTAAAATTTGCTTCCAGTTCATTAAAGCCGATCCTTCTTCATTTCGAACAGACATTTGCAGTGAACCGCCTAAAGCCAACGGTGATGTGTTAATCGAGTGTGCTACTTATATACCCTCATGGACCTACGATGCCAGCAGAAATGAATGCTTGCTCTTTGTTTATACGGCTGTGAAGGAAACGAAAATCGCTTCGGTACAATGGAAGAATGCGAGCAAAAGTGCTAGGGAATAAGGGGATACACTACGTATTTTCCATAGTTTTAATATCTTTGTTGGAATACGATGGAGGAAGTGTCACTCCAGTTAGTATGTATTGAATGTACCTATCTGTGATTCGAAATAAAAGTATTTTCTTTCATTTGTTGAAACATAAAATACGAGCAGAAAATTGGCTATAGTGCTATTTGTCTTTTTATATAAGGTAGCCGATGAATTTTTCCACATTTTAGATGCATTTACTTCATTTTACTTCATTTTGTTCTCGGTGTCACAAACTACGTTTACGACTTGTATTCTGCAATTCTCGACTGATCATAGAAAACAGGTTTCTTGTGTACTAAGGAATGTACTTAAGTTCAGTTGTAGTTTAAATATATTTACGATTAATTATAGTGCTTATCATAACTTTAGGCCACTCACATATTGACAAGATTTGACCATTTGCCTTAATCTTTTTTTTTATTTTAATTATTTGTTTATAAAAATATAGTATATTCTGTAACAAAAACTATATAAATCCAAGTGTAAATCTTTGTGTAACGTTTAAAAAAATCAACTAACTGTCGTAAAATTTCGAGCCTTCTAATTCAACTTTTAAGAAATATTTCGAGTATGCTACTTTTTAGACCATTCAATTCTAGTACAAAGTGCAAGTTTAAAGTAGCTGGGACTTACCGTTGATTTTTGGCAATTTTTTTTTTGTTGAGGATGACTTTCTTATTTGGAAAAATTGAGCAACACCTTCAAAAATCAACCGTATTTTGTAGTCACTTTAAACTTACATTTTGTTATACTAAAATTATCTAGAAAATCTAATTATAAAGCTCGAAATTTTTAGGACAGTTTTTTGTTTTTTTTTTTGTTTAAATGTTCTACAAAGATTGATACATGTTTTTTTTTGGGTTTTGTTACAGAATATACTATATTTTTATAAAAAAATAATTGAAATAAAAAATATTAAATAAATAGCAGTTTGATAACTAAATATTTGAATTTTCCGCCTAATAATTTTAAATGCCACCGCTTGTTTAATTCTTTCAGGCTTGGAAGTTTGATTTGGAAATAAATATTTCTCACGATTTTAGACACCCAAATCATATTCGTCTTTTCAGCTATCATATGTTCGTTACTACTGGAAGTTTTGAGCAAGCTGCGTATGTTCGTTCCTCTTTTTAACCGACTTCCAAAAAAGGAGGAGGTTAGATATAAGTTTGTCGGAATATTTTTATTTTTTTATTATTATGTATGTTACCGCATAACTTTGGACCACGTCAACGGATTTCGATAATTCTTTTTGCATCGGAAAGGTAGTCTCAGAGGTGGTTCCTACTAATCTGGTTAAGATTCGATTAGTGGATCATGAGAGATATATATATATATATATTTTTTTTTTTAGAGAGTTGAAGCCGGTTTTTTTTCTAAAAATTATCGAAATCGGTTGACGTGATCCAAAGTTATGCGGTACATACATAAAAAAAAAATAAAAATAAAATAATGTTAAAAAAAAAAATATTGCGACGAACTGTTAACCTCCTCCTTTTTTGGAAGTCGGTTAATAAAAAAAAAATTATACCGACGAACTGATAACCTCCTCCTTTTTTGGAAGTCGGTTAAAAAGTTGGTCAGCTTAAAATGAAAGTCCGCTTTTGCAATATTTAAATTTATCACTTTAATTTATTTTAGCTTTGTCTTTATTAATATAATATATAATACATATTACTTACATACACACATAATGCGCCTTATTTCTAGCGAAACTTCTAATGCATAATTTGAAGGCTATAATTTCTTTCTTTAATTTTCTAATTGTGATAGAATTCGCGTACATAATTACTTATTTTCATATGTACCTATTTTGGTATATATGTATGTACTTATATGTACATATGTATTTAAATTACTTATTTTTTTCATAATGCACTGGAGCTTCAATGATTGGTGAGCTGATAAGCGCTTGACTTGCACCAATTATTGGCTTGGTTGGAATCTTAAAGTTGAATATTTAGCCCATAGTTATAAATAAAATAAAGTCGACTCTTAAGTTATTTGCAGCCTTTTTGACATATATCCCATTGAGTTTTAAAAAGCTGTAAAAAAAATTGAGAGTCGACTTTAGTTTGACTGTAAGTACGGGCCATTCAATCTATGTATTTCAGTGACGCACCCAAAAAGTTCTTTCAAGGGGATTTTAAATATGAATCGACTTCGATGGTAGAATGCCTCCAGAAATTCCGGACTTCAATAAACTATTAAATAAATGAAAAAAACAGCAATTGAAAACAGGGACCGATAACAAAAGGTGTGATCGAAAAGAAATGTCGTTCTCGTAGTTTTGTACCCAAGA